TTTCAGTCTATGAGTTTCTTTTTGAACTAGGTGCATTTCTTTTATGCACCATATTGTTGGATTTTGCTTCTTAATCCATTCTGCCAGTCTGTTTCTTTTGATTGGTGAATTAAGGCCATTAACATTGATGGTTATAACTGATATGTTTTGACTTATCATTGTCATGCTATTTTTCTGTTGTTGACTTTTATTTTTCCTCCTCTCCCTTTAATTTCTTGCCTTGCCTGATGCATTTGCTCTGTTGGGCCTCATGGAGTTGTGACCTTCACTGTCTTTTTCTAGGATATTGTATAGAATTGTTTGGAGTGCTGGTTTGGTATTCATGAAGTTTGTCAGGCATTCTTTGTCATGAAAGTATCTTATTTCCCCATCAATTTTGAAAGATAGTTTTGCAGGATACATCAGTCTAGGATGGAGGTTGTTTTCTTTTAGGGGTTGAAATACCTCAGTCCAGGCTCTCCTTGACTTGAGGGTTTGTGTTGAAAAGCCTGCTGTGATTCTGACAGGCTTTCCTTTGCATGTGATTTGTTTCTTTTCTCTAACTGCTTGTAGTATTTTGATCTTCTGTTGGGTTTCCGGAATCTTGATTATCATATGTCTAGGTGTAGATTTTTTTTGATCATGGCTAGTTGGAGTCCTATATGACTCACTTATCTGTGTGTCAAATTCTTTTGCTCTGTTTGGGAAGTTTTCTGTCATTAATTCTGCAAACAGATTTTTTATGTCATTTGTACTTTCTCCTTTTTCTTGGAGTCCTATCAGTCTTATATTATTCTTCTTTGCATCATCTAGCAGCTGTTGGATTGATTTCTCATGGTCCCTTACTATTTTTAAGAGATCTCTCTTTTCATGGTCACTGACTGCAATTCTGTCTTCTATATCTGAAATTCTGTCTTCACATTGGCTCTTTCTGCTCCACATGCTTTCAATAGAGTTTGTAATCTCCAGATAATCTGTTTAAATCTGTTTCATGGATTTCATTTCTTTCCTATGTTGGGCCTTCTTGGTTGATATTTCTTTCCTATGCTGGGCATTCTTGGCTTCCATCATGGTCCTGAACTCATCTAATTTTTTTATCTGTTGCTGTTCTAGAGTCTGTAATCATGTCTTTCATTCTGCTCACCATCTCTGTAGTTATCTGGGAAATTATTTCTCTTTTGAATTTTTCTAGAGCCTCATTCATCTGTTTTGTTACTTCCCATGCTATCAGTTCAGGGTGTCCAGGTGGTTGACTATCACACTTTTCCACCTCATTTCCCCCAGAATTTGCTTTTGGTGAGCCGAAAGTCTCAGATTGTGCCTTGCTTAGATGTCTTCTCATTTCTATTTTTATTTTTGGTACTGTCCTTAGTTAAATTACTGGGTTGATACTTTGATAGTGCTTATTGTAAGTATCTTTGTTGCTTGTATTTAGAACCCTTCTGAAATGATTATTTCTCAGAGGTGTCTTCCAGATATAGCTGGTCTTTAGGTTTTGAGTCTCTAATGTCTCTGGAGCAATCTCATTTTCATTATATCAGGATGGATAGCTGATTAGATCAATCAAAACAGCTTACCCCAAGTGACACAATTAGCAACAACAATAGTATCAAGCACAGTTTAGAAAATGACAATTTGTGGTAGTTATTAATCTATCACCATTAGCCATGCGAATTAAATCAAAACTGAGGACCAGTCCAAAGTATTTTTATAGTGAATAAACTCTTCAATATAGCAACTTTACCCTTCAGATGGGAACTTAGAAGGATTTGGGGAGGGAGGGATAGATAGGTAGAAGTATAAGGTAAGGTTGGAAGTGAGGCCAGAGGACACAGGAAGATCACACAAACTCCAGGGAACTGTTGAAGTCAAGAGGAAAAAAAGAAAGAACAAAGACAAGAACAGAACAAACTAAGAGCAATAGGGAAGCTAGAAACTGTAACAAAAAGGGAGATGAAAAACAACATGGGAGAGGAAGAGAGCAAGAGAGAGAGGAAAAGAGAAAGAAAAGTAAAAAAGGAAAAAGAAGAAAGAAAAATATTGAAAAGAGCAGAGAAAAAAATGAAAAATTAAAATTAAAAATAAGAGAAAAAAATAATTTTGAAAATAAAAAAATAAAAATGAATGACCTCCTTCAGGGTATACCTCTGCTGTCACAACAGACAACATGGGCTGAAGTATGCAGATCGAAGTAAAATCAGTCTCAGCAAGCCAGTAGCAGACCCTTGAGATTCAGGCTGATTTCTGCCTGCAAGGCCCAAGTTCAGCTCCCTGACCTCCTGCAGGGTTGAACTCTCCAAAGTTCTACTACAGCTTCCAGCTGCCCTTCCCCTGAAGATAGTCCAGGCTCCGATGGGAAACGGTGATGCCTCCAACTTGCCAACTATCGTGGTCTGGTGTGCCTTTATTGCAGAGATTCTCTTCACTTTTTCAGTGGGCTTCAATTTTCATCAAGGAGCCCGAGAGAGGCCCTCTCTCTGTTGTTCACTTCTGCTGTATCTTCTGGAGCTCAGGACAATGGTCTTTATGAGCCCCTGTGCCTCTGTGGTGTGGATCCAGGTACAGGCGCAACCAGAAAGCCAGAGGCAGGGTGTGTATGTGTGTGTGTGTGTGTGTGTGGTGCTGCAGGCGCCCGTGTGGCTCAGCTCCTCACCAGACTGCTCTTGGATGGAAAGCGTGGGTGGGGGCGGGGCAGCCAGTACAGATATTTCTTCTTTAATGAAGTAGCGATTTAATGATTGTTTGGGGTTATGACTGAGGCACATTGTTTCAACTTAGTGATCTGCCACTCAGATTTTTTGACTCATCTTTTTTTTTTTTGTAACAGTTCTGTACCATCTTGTTTATAGATCCTCAATGTCTTTTTTGTAAAGTACAAACTTCACTTGTAAAGGTGTACAGTACTATAATTTTTGCTGGTTGTACTATACAGTATAGTACTGTAGTTTTATATTCTATTATACATTACATTAGTGTATGTGTTATGCAAAAAAAAAAGCAAACTCATTAAGTTTCTTTGTTCTGAATATTGTAGTGTACATATTATATGAATTTCACATTTAAAGACAATTCAGTTAACAATCTAATCACAGAAACTGAATTAGGGCATTAAACAAGGAACACTTGTAATTGTCTAATGGTGAAAGAAGCTCGCGATGGCAATGATTCTCAGGAAGGATGATTTACAGAGAAGGTATGAATAGGGAAATGAAGTTCATCACTTGATTTACTGTTTCCTGGGTTTGTACTCTTCCTCATTAGAATTACCAAAGCAGAAAGTACAATGAAAGGGGGCCGGGGATTTAGCTCAGTGGTTTTGCCACCTGCTGCGCAAGCGCAAGGACCCGAATTCAATCCCCGGTACCGAAAAAACAAAAACAAAAACAAGAAAGTACAATGAAATGTCAGTTAATATCAGCCAGGCTACGTTGGAGCTGACTATAGAAGACCATGCCCTTATATGTTGCTCCCAAATCAGTGATATTATTCATAGTGAATGCCTTTGGTAGGTTATATAGTGTAAGGAATTTTTTTGGTGCGAGAGATTGAACCTAATGGGTGTGCTGGGCCATTGTGTTACACTCCAACTCCTATAAACTTTCTTAGTCATTGTATACCATGTTTGAATAGGTTTTGTTCTTTCAGTCTGTTATTGGTATTTGCCCTCAAAATTTGAAAGATGTTTCTTCATTTTCTTTTTTTATATCTAGGTTTGAGATGAAAGCTGTTATTCTGTTGGTTTTACATTTTTTTTTTTTTTTGTAAGTAGTATCTTCTGAGGGGAACTTTTATATTCTCAGTGCTCTAAAATTTCATAGTAGGTCTAATTTTCCTTTCAATTTCTGTTATTCCCTGGAGCCCAAATTCACTTTTCTTGCTGGAACTACATTTCTTAACATTTTAAATAGCATTTCTTTACTCCTTTGGGTAAGAAATTCTGACAATATTTCTGTGTTGCTTATTCAATGAGCTGTTTTCATTTGAATATTCAGTTTATTTATTAACTTCAGATTTTTCCAATATGATTAACAGGTTCTTTCTTACAACCACTTGTCTTCTTTCAAACAAGATTCTCATTTGTATCTAAAGGTGTTAAAATTAATGATATTGTGCCTCAAATTCAGTGGATATTTTCCTATTGGAATGTTTTCTATCATCGAGATTAAGAAGTGACACTATTATATAAATAAAAAGAACACATAATATGAGTGGGTGCTTCTCTAGATAACTTACATGCAATAAATCATTTAATTCTATTGTTCTTGTACTATAAACCTCATTTTATAGAATATTAAACTGGGGTAATAAAGACTGAAAAACCACTCATGGTTGTGAAGCTAGTAAGTTTTGAAACCACATACAATCCAATAGAGCCCTCTTTTTCTTCCCAAATGGTACCCTGAAAAATCTAGTCTAAACTTACTCAGTGTTTGCTGTAGAAGTAATTTAATTAAGTATTTGCTGATTAGCTCCTAGTAGAATTAGGAGAACCCATCCACTGAGTTTCAGTGCATTAATTCCCTCTATGTAAAAGCCTGTTGTCTACTTACATCTACCTAGGACCATGAAAGGGCATGTCGGTTGCAGCTCCTCATCCACTTTGCATCTTTCAAGGGAAGGTCACATTTTTATATCAAGAACCCTTGTTTTCTAACTTTGCTTTGCATTTAAATTAAAGAAAACTCCATTACTCTATAAGCTGTCATAAACAAATGAGGAAAGAACAATTAGATTTAATGTTTTGCAACTTAGTTTATACTGTATTCATTTGTCCAGGTTGAATTTACCAAATCTTGACTGTCACCTGAGTTTTAGAAACAAAGGAGGGAAATTTTTGTTTATTCATTTATGTCTAATGTACCCACTGTTCCTCAGGGGTCTCTCATCAATCCCACATTGGTGGAAATAAACATTCTCTTACAAAAACCTCTTTGCACATAATTATAATGCAACACATATTTATTTCTATGCATGACAATGAAAATTAGGAAAATAGAAAAGGAAGCAGCCTTCAGGCAAATGGAGAGATCAAGACTATTATATAGCCAACTTTGAGTTAGACTGCACTGAGATTTGCTGTGCTGCCCCCAGAGGTTGTGTCTTCACCAGATACAGATGCCCCAGCAGGATTTTCAGACAGTCTTCTTTGCTGCCTATATTCTTCTAATCTTCTGTAATCCAAAATTTCCTGTTCCAAAAACCTTCGGTGCTTATTCTGTTTAACCAAGAGATCCTTAGTAAATTTTACAAGCTATAGGAAGAAAGCAAGAAAGGTTCCATATTAAGGAACAGGTATGTATTGAGAGGTGAACTACTCGAACTGTAGCCATTGCCTGGACTAGCAGTGCCTGGACTAGCAGTCCCTGGACCATGTTAAAAATATAAAATTTCAAAAGTTCTATTGTAGACTTACTAAATCAGTATCTCCATTTAAAAAGGGACTAGGGATGATCCATGTGCACACTGAGGTTTCAAGAGTTCTGATCAAAGGCATTAAAGACATCTAGGTGAAGTATAGGCCTTACTTGCAATGAATGTTAGAGTATCTCATCAAAAGTATAGATTACTTTAAGAAGCAAGCTACTACTGCATTGATTTTGAAACCTGTCTCCTTTAATCATATGTGGAGCTACCATACAAAATTTTAAAAGATTTAGCTATAAGTGATCTGGCATAGGCCTTAGTATTTATATCTCTTCAGAGATCCTTGGAGAGTCTAATGTCTATCAAATAGAGTTGAGAACCTTTGTACTAAGGTATTTTATCCACTTTGACTTCCTGAGAAGTTAGTGAACTGTTGCAAAGGTAGTTACCACTTTGAGCTGGAGTGTTGACTAACAACCAGGAAGGCTGCACAGCAGTCTGGGATAGTAGGTGACCATGCATATCTACTGTCATATCTAGGACAGTGAATCTCAAACTGTGCTACCAGTTAGCAGTATCAGTATATTGGAACTTGTTAAAAGGGCAAATTTTGGATCCCTAAACAAACAACCAAATCATAACTTTTGTGGTTGGATCCAAGCAGTTTGTGTTAGTAAGCTCTCCAAGTGATTCGAGTGCTTAACAAGCTTAAACTTTTCTGGTCAAGAAGACGTTGAAGCCAGCAACAGAACATTTATTCTGTTCAGTCTTCCAGAGTACATTATTCCTAGAAAGGCTTTTCTATCCTTTCTTGAGTTGAATGTATCCTTACCAAAACCCTCAACCCCTGTGTTCAATTCACTGCTAGAAATAACTTGTTGTACTTGCTTGGTGAGAAATTAGCATATATTGGGTGACCCACTGTCTTGGGCCTATTTCCCAGAAGCAGGTCATAACGGTGAAACATTACACTGCTTGTCAATACCTGTTTATTACTTACACGAGTTTCACGAGCCCGAGAAGCTGAGGTTTTCAGGTCTTCCATGATCCTAGTTAACTCTTCTTCTAGATTCACAACATCTGGTAGGGCTTTTTCTGGAGTTTCTAGGGGACCTATGTTGGCCCTCTGTTGAAGAAGAACAAGAAAGACAATTTCCTATCTCTTTCACAAAATTGTTACTTTTTGCTTCTCAAGTGGGACGAAGACTAGGTTTGCACAGTATAATTATTTCTAAATATTGCAGCGCAATGTGATCAGCTAAGAATCTTAAACACTGAGTCTTGAGTCCACTGTAGACGCTCTGAATTAATTAATGTAGGGTGGCGTGTGGGTATCAGGAATTGAGAATATCTCCAGATGATTTTAAGGTGCTACAAAACAAGGTTCTCAAGAGTATATATAACACAGCTATGTATATGATCTTTCCTTAAGGATGCTGGCTTAATTTAGTCATTAGCAGGCATTTACATCTATTCATAAAACTGAAGCTTAAAAAAAATATGTTTTTTTATTGAAGCGGTATAAGCAGTGATGTTGAAGGACCCTAGTTAGCAAGACAGACTCCATATTGCTGCTTGACCCACCTGCCTGCCCTTTAGATGAACTCAGAAGGAGGAAGCTTAGAAACCTCCTCCCCTTAGAGAGTCTCTTAGAAACAACAATTAATTAACTATTGTTTTACAAATGTTCTAACAGCAGGACGTTCCGCTTCTGTACCTTTTGCTTGCTTTACTAGTTCTATCCCATAGGGGGGCCTAGAAACTGTTGGCCTCAAAGGTGTATAAAACATGTTTGTCTCCCCCCAGTCAGGGCTCGAGCCCGATGCTCAGCTTGGGTCCCGGCTGGTAATAAACTCCTGTGTGGATTTAATATTGGTCTGTGGTTGGTTCTTTCTCACTGGGCACAACAATGTAATACCCATTAGGATCAGATTGTTTTTTGGAAAGTCTACTGCAGAAAAAACATTTTGACCTTGCAGGGAAAGGAATATTAAATACATGAACCTGAACCTGATCGGTGATTGGAAATAAGATGCTAATGGCTCTGGGAAGAGGTCATGCTTGTATTTCTTCTCAAACTATAAACATTAGAGCTTGTTATTACACATCCTTGGGCTCCACCCACAGAGATTCTGATTCAACAGCACTGGAGTGGAATCGATAAATGTACATTTCTCCTCATCCCCATGTATTAGTACTGCTGATTCAGAGGATACATCCAGTTTAGTTCATTGAGAAGGGCCAAATAAGTATTTGGTGTCTAAATTTACCCAAACACATGTTGATATTTGCTTCCTCTAAAACTCAATTATAAGAAGCCCACTTACGACCATGTGTATCCTAACAACTTAGGCAGGAACTAATTATTTTGTAGACCTGAAAATGGCCTAATAAAGATTGTAGTAAAATTATAGTCACCTGAATAAAGGGAACACTGTTAATACAATTACGTCTCCTTAGAAACCTTAGGAACTCCTTTGCTTGCTCCCACTTCACCGCTGACATATGCTCCAAGAACACAGCAAAAGCAGGCATAACCTTTGGTTCAGTGAAGCTGTAGGCCTGAGAGAAGTGACAATGGGAGGGAAACTGGGATTAAGAGAAGGCAAATTTTAACCTGGGAACCCTTCGAAGACTTACTTTGCTAACTCAGTGGCTGTCCAGAAAGTAACCTTCATGGGTTATTCTTGGGAGCTCTTGACCTTCAGGAAGCTCTGGCTGTCTTCCTGAACTCAGACTACCTCACCTACCTCAAATATCAGCCACTCAGATCCAGGATGCTAGTGACTAATTTTTCCAAATGATGGCCTTGTAAGGACCAAGTTTGATAACCTACTTGCTAGCACTATTATCCATTAATTGTGTAGATCCATGAGAGAAGTCCAGCATGAAATAACTGATATTTTAAAGTCAATCTATTTCATTAATTCTAACATATTTACATTAATTATGAAATAGCATATAGGTTTACATTTGTCTGTCTGCCACCACTCTTTGATATGCCAAGAATTTTTATAAGCCACAGGAAAAAGTGTATCTCTTTATCATAGCTCAGAGTTGAAACCACAATTCTAAATCCTTATGCCAAGATTGGCAATACTTAGTCACAGAGTTGTTCTTACAACTTTAAACAGACCACAAATGTAGTCAAAACCATTTCTAAGGAAATAGCAAATGTAGCATCACCCAGGTGAAAGCTAAACCTCCCTGAACGTTGCTCAAAAGCCCATACTAACCAGAGTTAAATACACATCACTGATATACATCTGGTAAGCTGCTACACGGTTAATACCATTTGCACATTCTTCAGGAAAGGGGTTGGGGCTCTGATATGCCATTTCACCTTAGGGAAATCCAGACATAAAATGTGCCACCAGCTGACCTAGAGGATTTCTTAAATACTAACAAGCAGATAGGCAGCCCACTTCCTACAGCCAGATGAAATTCAATCCAGCTGAAATTAACAGCTATTAATCTATCACTAAGAACCTTGTTTTTGAATGAAAGAAACAATCATACCAGAGAAAACTGATTTTTTAAAGGGGGAGGAGGGGCTTAATCTTTCTAATTATCCTACTCAATATTCTGTATTTTCTTTTTTCTGACTATGATTTGAAAGCACTATGATATACTTCCTTAATATAGTAAAGTATTAACTGACTGGATGAATTATATTTAATTTTTCCCATTCTTAAAAATTGTTATGCAAACCATGTTAGAACACATGTTGAATCTGAAAAGTCTGGCTAAATTACTATCTCTCTTTTTAAAGGATCCATAACCCCTCTGTAAAACCTCAATACACACAATTGATCTTATGGGAGGTTTCAATGGAGTTGTGAAGTATCAAAATCATTTTAGCTGAGGGAATTAGGGCAGGTTTCATTGATGAATTGGCATTTTAAAAAATTGCCCTTGGGAGGCAGGCAAGAATGTAGGAAATTGGAAATGGAAGAAGCATTCCACCTGGAGATGGCACGCAGGCTTTAAAAATAACAGGAGGTGGTTGGTTCCCTTAAATTATGGTCAGACTGCTCCACCTGGCAATATTTTTGCTTCTTCCTCAAACATCTCCCAGAGGTCCGTAAATGTTCCTTGCCTCTTTGGGGAGCAGGAATTGTCTTACTGATACTGGTATTCCTAAAGCTCTAATGGGGTATATGTAGATACTATATGCTGAATTAATGTTGATGAAATAAAATCATAATTTAACTTAAAATACTGCATAAAATTTTTCATAAATCTGGTGGATCTCTAGTTTGCACTTGATCATAGCCATAAGGCTGAGAAGCGATGGTGGATCTCTAGTTTGGATTAACCTATGTCTGGCTGGACTGAAGTAGAAACAACAGGCCTCCAAAAGTCTCTTTAAGAGGCAGTGAGGTGTGAGGCAGCCTGGTAAATGAAAGCACATCCTAAGTGAAAGAGCTAGGGATTTAAAGGTTGGGTCAATCACAGAGATAAAAAGGGAAAGGATGAGGATAAAAATGGCCTGTTATTTGTCACTTTTATTTTTGGCTCCACACAGTCTCTTGACCCCAACTAAATTTATGGAATTCATTCTTCACTTCAGGAATAAAGAGATGTTTCAGACAGTGCTCTTGAAATGTTAGTTTGCATATGAACCACCCGAGTTTTAGTTAAAACACTTTTTCTCTATAGTGGGCTTGGCATGGAGCATTTTTAACAGTGATGCCAAGTCCTGCCTATCCAGGGAATATACTTTGAGTATCAAGATTTTAAGTAAATCTTTAAAAAGCTATTTCAGTAAAAATTTTGTAAGACACCAATGACAGTGCCAGGGCAGCTGTAATAAGACAAAAGGGAATGTTCTTTGAAGACACTTGCAGTGAATTAGTGTTCAAATTCTTAGGACCCTCATGGCAGCATCCTAAGGGAGGCTGCTATGATGAAGCCCTCTGCAATATCTAGCCTTTGAGATAAGGAGCAGGCAAAGGGGAAAGAAAATGATAACGGATGAGACACATAACTCATTTTTCTCATACTAAATGTGAAACATTAGCCAAACTTCTCCTCCCTGAATTATACTGATCTTTTCAGATTAGAGTTTTCCATGAGAAAGGGGGCCATGTGTGAGTAAAATCTAGATTATGACTGTTACAGTAACGCTCTCTATAAGATTGTAAACCTGTAAGATACAGATTTTATGTATTGGGAGATACTCTGACAGTTTTTATATTTCTGGAGGGCCTATAAGATGATTTTATGCAAACATTCTATGATTTCACCACTGCATCTCGGCAACAATACATACCTGAATACATATAAATAAAATACTCATGATATTGAGGTGAAATCTTAAGAAATACTGCTAAGAATTTAAAAATGACCTCACCAATAAGTAGGAAAAAAAGAGAGTGAAGAAACACATTATCATCATTGGAAGGTGTGCTAGTATTGTTCCCAGAGTTTTAGGGTAATAGCTTTTGTTCTGGGGGTCTCAACGTACCAGGCTTGTACACTCATCCCATAATGCCAATCAAGAGATGAGCAGAGATGAAGGGCAGCAAAGGAGTTTTAAGCCAGCCTGGTCATTCTGGGTAGCACAGATAAAGGGTTTGCAATTTGTGTTCAGAGTGCTGACTGAGTCTTTGGAGTTTTATAGGAAAGGGGGACAAAGGCAAGGAGTATGTGTTTGCATAGTTGGCAGGTTTGCATATCTAGTCCTGTATGTTATCTAAAGTCTTCATGATAGGTATCTCAGTACTAGTTGTGTGAGTTCCAGGGAGAGTCCCCATTTCCCAACAGGGCAACTCAGTTTGGACCAAGAGATAAACCCTCCTATTGTTAGGAGGAAGTCTCAGTTCTCATCATGGGGTAATTGTTGCTCTTGGAGGGGGGTGTGAACTCATCATGGGTGTACTGTGAGGCTGTGTTTTCCTGAAAATTGAGGTGGCTTTAGGTTTAAGAAGATGACTGGAAACTTCTAGGTACCACTCCAGGGATCTGAAAACTGGATGTTGTAAGAGCTGGCAAGTAGATGTCCCTGCCAACCATGAAAACTGCTTGACGTATGCATCTCTTGGTGTCCTCAGTCTTGAAGCGAGATGAGATAGTTAGGTAAATTGAGGGCTATAAGTTTTGCAACACTGATACTCTCTAAAAGATTAAATAGCTGTGTTCAGAGATGAGTAGGTGTCTAACCTAAAGTTTTAAGCAAGTAAGGGAGATATATCAAATGAAAGCAGAAATATATTATTTGAAGACAACATTATGCTGCTTTTAGTTACCCACTGGCCAACTGCAGGCCTTTCCCCTAAATTGCTGTAACATTATAGTAGCTTTACAAGTGATTATATTTTCTTTTTATATTTTTGCAATTTTAAAAATTTCTATATATTCATTTTGAAAAAAGAATTTGCCAGATCCCTTTCTGGAGAATTATCACAGTGCTTCATAAAAGTACCACAGATAAATTTCTGATGTATACTTTATTCTAATCACAAATATAATGCACAAACATTATAAAATATTTGAACATTAAATATAATAATATTTGGAATGTTAATGTCTATGGCAAACACTTTCATACCAATGTATACACTTTTAAAATGTAATTTGATTCAGAATACTATTACCTTTTGGTAACTGGATGTATTGGCCTTTGAAATATAAGATATGATCAGTGTTGTTATCTGATATCCATGCAATTTCTACCTTGCATTTTACAGGTAATACAAAAGCATTTTAAAAAATCACACACTCTCAATCCCCCACCCCCCGCTCTCATTTAATCCTTACTTTCTTTCTGTCTTTACAGGGTTATTTCACCTGATCATCTCACTAAGAATGAAGAAACAAGAACTTTTTTCTACAACTAAATCATACCAAGACATTTCTTCTTTCTTTCTTTCTTTCTTGCTTGATTGCTTACTTGCTTGCTTGCTTTTTTTTGCTTAAATTATTTTATTGGTACATTTTAAGTATACAATATGTTTACATTTATCATTGGGTGCTTGTACCTGTACATGATGTATCTTGGTTCTTATTTTTTCCCCATT